GGGGGGGTTATATTGACTGGATCAAATTATTGGGGGGGTTATAACCCCCCTATCCCCCGTGTAAATTACGCGGGTGGCTTAGGGATGGACATTATAAATGTGTACTCAGGTGGTTCTGGACAGTCCTACCTGTGCTGGTCCATGGTCTCTTCAGCCTTCCAGTCCGGTAAGGTGCTGGCACACAGCATGACAATGGAGATGACCACGAAGAGCATGGACACTGAGGTCAGGATCTGAGCCACCAGGGAGGACGTGGGCTCCTCAAATGTCCTCCTCATCCTCTCTAGCCAGTGAGGATCCTCAGGTTTTTGCTGCTCCTCCTCGGGGAAGAAGTGGACGAAGCAGTCCGACAGGCAGTCATCCAGACGGCGCTGGCAGCATGGCTGCAGGTCGGAGCTCTCCAGGCCCCAGTATAGCATCTCATTATAGAAGGACAGCTCACACATGTGCGGCACGAAGCGCAGCTTCCCATGTTGAATGTAGAGCATGATGAAGCTGAAGGCCTCAGAGTGCCGGTCAAAGAAGAACTCATTTCTGTCTTGGTCGTAGTCATCACAGAGTTCCAACAGCTCGCTCTCTGAGCCGCATCCATGCAGCCGACTGAGCCTACTGAGAGGAAGATGCTTCATCAAGTCGGCTGGGAAGGAAAACCTGCGACCGCCAACATTCAGGGTGCAGAGCCGGCTGCCAAACTTCATGTTGGCTTTAATCAGGATCGTCCAGACTTCTTGTTAAATAAGAAACTGAAATGTTCTGCAAAGTCTCACATCTTTTAATCTCAGCATTAAACTGAAGCTCTAACAAAACCTTTTTTGCTCTTGATAAAACCAGCTGCCATTTCAAAACTTTCAACAGAATTCTGTGAACAGAAGATAAAGGAAGCTGAGAGAAAGATGTCTCCTTTGAGTTAAATGAGTCAACATGCAGCAGATTAGTCTCTTGGAGGAGCAGTGACCTACATTGATTTCTGTCTCACTGCATCATCGATGCGTTTTCACTTTCAACACAGACGAACTGAAACACGATTTTAAAAAGAAAAATCAAAAACAGATGTACTGTATCACCTCTGAGCCGTTTCACCTCCAGTCCACTGAAGAGTCAGATCCAAATCCAACAATCTGAACCTCCTTTGTGGATCTTGTCAGAGTTCTGCTGAGCTTCTTCACAGGGTTGAATCTGAGAGTGAAGAGCAGCAGCAGACCCTCCTCCTGTCTTGAGAGGAGGAAGATCAACCAGTGAGTCCAATAGTTTGAGCTGCTGAACACTTAAGATTCAAAATCCAAACCTTCCCAACCCCCCATTAGCTCTGTGGACCACCCACGGTCTATGTCTTCAGACCTGATCTGACCATCTTCATCACCAACACTTCACCAGCTTCACTGGGACTTGGTAATTCAGAGAACATTAAAAGCAGATATGAATGATGACTTCATTGTCTCATTCAACCCTGCAGAGTTGTTTCTGTGGAGAGGACTCCCCCTGCTGGACAGATCCTCCACAAATGCAACATGTCAGGAACTAAAAGTGTTTATATCTTTACAAAACTGTTTTCTATGATCATGGGAAAGAGTTCAAAGGTTTAATAATTCAAACTAATAATTCAAACTAAAAAACTAATAATTCTCTTCAAAGCTTTGAAATCTCTTTCAGGTCTAAAGAAACCAGATCAAACAAAGTTAAAGGTCACCTGACCTCAGGCATGAACATATGACAACTCAGTCAACTTTACCCTTGAAAGACCATCAGGAAGAGTGACTCATTAGAGGAAGTGAAGCACAGCTGAAGGGGCGGAGCCAAACTCTGTGCAGGTAACAGGAAGTGAACTAAAAAATGCTTCGTTGCTCAAAAAGAGAAGGTTCCTGTTATCTCACAAGGGGCAAAGCCTAACTGATCAATTGCTGTCGACCGTGTCAGGAGCTAGACAAGCATACAGGAAGTTAATTCACAAACAGGAAGTGACATCACCTGTCAGCGATGGAGCAGTGGGCAGTATGAGGAAATTGCAGAGCTGGTCTGTGGTCAGAGTGTTGACGCCTCGCAGGAAGATGCTGCTACTCGCCGCTCTGCTCGCCGCTCTGGGTGAGAAGCAAACATCTTTGTGGGACAGAAAACTTCCTGAAGTTTGGTTTCTGTTTAACAGAAAACTATTTCAAGTTTGTCTTTTTCATTCCTTCTCTTAGTTTTTTTGCAGTTTGTTGTTTTCTTTCTCTTCTCCTACTTCCAACACGCAACGGTAACACTGAATCGTGATGGAGAGTTTAGGTCCAGAAACTAACAAAAACTTTGGCAGTTTAAACTTTCTGAGGAGGCAAAGGGAGGTTTTTAGATGGTGTTATCTCCTGCCACAACAGGCACACAAAGTCTATCTGTTGAAAACTTGGAGTAAAGTATTTGTTTGTGACAGACACCACTTCCTGTTTCTTCTTCTCTCGCAGCAGTGGTTTTGGAAGCAGGATATCACCATGATGGATCCATGCCTGGCTCTCTGAACAACATCAGTAAGAACGATCCTGGCCTCCAGAAGGTCATCCTGGATGCCGCCTACTCCTTCAACAACCAATCAAATGATGCCTTCCTGTTCAAAGCCTCAGCCATCCAGCGAGCGCAGCAACAGGTATGAGACTTGGAGCTGACGTCCCGTTTCTATGGAGAGAAATGAGTCTCACAATGCAAGTACACACAAGTGCACGGATCTGCTCGCCTGTGAATGTGACTTGAGATTTCCACACGTATAAGGCTGTGTTCAAAGCTGGTGAAAAGCTGGGACATGTTGGCATACAAATTTTTTTGCTATTGTTGTGTGTGCTCACATTGTGAGACCTACTTCTGTCCATATGTTTCCTTTACACAGACATGATGAAGAACATCTGATGAAATATGAGCACACGGTAAACCAGAGGAAATTAGACTTTTCTGTTGAACGACTGAAACTGAGTTGTAGCTGAAAAGCTGTGCTGGCAAATTTTGTTTGTCTCAAAAATATACGAATCCTTACTATTGTAGCGAGTTGGCAGAAAATAAAAAGACCTGCGCTAAACTTTTAACCTGTTGAGGCTAGTGCTGTACCAAACGATTATTTTCTAATCGATTAATCTAACGATTATTTTTTCAATTAATCGATTATTCTAACAACAAGTTACTCTGATGAGAGTGCACTGGAAATTTAAAATGTTTTCATCAAATCAACAAGAACAGTTCTTTAGTATTGTAATATTTTCTTTAATAGTTTTTTTCATGAACACAAAATATGCACTCTAGAGCAGAGATTCTTAATCCATGGGTCACGGCCCAATTGTGGGCCGTGAGCGCCACCTTGAGGGCCTCAAAAGACCAACATTTTTTAACTTTGGGCCACAGAGGGCCACGGGACCACATTGATTTTGAATAAGGTGCAATACACTTTCTCACCACTAGTAGCGGTAGTGTGTCACTCAGATGTTTAACAACTTTTTAAAATGTAGAAGAAGAACATTAGAAACCTGCCGAGAATGGAAACCTATTTTTTATGAAAAATAGAAGGCAAAAATGAAGGTAACTCATCAAAAAAGGCCAGAGTTTGTCACTAATATGAAGTTCTGTGGTTCTATAATGCAGTATTTTAAAAGTTCAAAACATTATCAAATGCAGTTACTATAATATACACTCACCGGCCACTTTATTAGGTACACCTGTCCAACTGCTCGTTAACACTTAATTTCTAATTAGCCAATCACATGGCGGCAACTCAGTGCATTTAGGCATGTAGACATGGTCAAGACAATCTCCTTTTGATCAGAGATTGGAGAGCCCAACCCAAAGTCCCCAGGAAGTGGGCTACAGGTGCCTCATTCCCCAGGTCAAGCCACTTTTGAACCAGAAACAGCAGAAGAAGCGCCTGACC